CAATTGTTTAGAAATTGAAATCCAGTCCTCGTAATTCTCTTTAACTTTTTATTAATTCATCACATATCTTAACAAGCTCTGCATTTTCTTTAGGCTTTCAGTTTTGTTGTCTCCAATTGGTGCTCTCGTGCCAGAGCTTCTAGTTTTTTATTGGCTCTGAAAAATAAATGTGATCAAATTGAGTATTTTCCATTTCATTTAAATGAGTGATACCAAATCTTTTTCAATTACTTACATTTCCAATTGTTGCATTGCATGGTTTTTCATTTTATCATATCGTTGCTCCTGTAATCGCAGATTTTCAGCATTTTTACGATTTTCTGCTATTAAGTTTTCTTCGTTTCCTTTTAATTGGCAGGTCATTTCTTTGCTCTTTTCATATTTTCTAAAAAATACGGAATAAAACAAATGAATTAAAAAAATTGAAATGATGATCAAAGCAAACCTTTTCGGCAATTAATTCAGCTATGGCTTTTTCATATGCTTCAATTACCCCACTAAAAAATACAAGACAAACAAAAAAATAATTTGTTGAAATACTTAATTTCAAATAGAAAAACTTACGTCATTTTCGCTACAGTTTTGTCTTTTTCTGTGATACGTTTTATTAAAGCTTCTTCCCTTAGCTCAGCTTCTCTCAGTTTTTTCTCAATGTCCTCAGTTTTGAGACTGAAATAAAATTATTTTTTTAATTACAATACTGCGTATGTGTTTCTTTTGGCAAATACATAAAATAATAGCTAATGTATTACAAATAATATCAACAAGTTGCCTCTTTTTCCATTACAGAGCGTTTAATTTGTACCAAAAATGAACTCAAACAAATTGCAAAAAAAAAAAAAAAAAACGACAACCAATAATGAGTCATTTACAAGCAGCAGCAACAAGAACAATAAAACAGCAAAGGTCAGATTGCCGCAAACACTGTTTCCAGTTTTTGGTTGTAATGTTTTTTTTTTCGTGGAATGTCAATAGATTGCATAGAAAATAATTAAAAAATAAAGGTAAATGAACAGTTACCAGTTGGTAGACATTTCAATTGCAAATATTAAAATCATCACAATTTTGTAGCAATGCCAAATTTCTTTTCGAGGGCAATTTTGGATTTTTTTTTGTTTCTTTGAACCAAAAGAAAAGTAAAAAACTGCCCATTGAAAGGTTTCTTAATCTTTGTTGACAGCAATTGTTTATTATAAAACTACATCTTCTCCATATTTCGATGACCCTTTGGACTATTCCCAAGTTTTCAAGGTTAGGTAACATCAATTGTTGCAGCAACATGTCGGAAACAGTGTGTAACAAAAGTGTGTGTGTGTAAGAACATGTACATTCAAAGTATAAATAAAAATGACATCAAAACAAACAGTGAATGACAAAAAATCCAAAAAGATTTTGATGCGACCATATATCAATATATATACAGATACAAAAAAAAATCGATAGGGATGCAACACATAAAAAATAAAAACATGTGGCACAGCTGCTGCACTAAAACCTACAACACATGTGAGAGTAATAGAGAGGATGATAACACATACCGTGCCATAATTATTAGGAACGCCTATCATATATGTGTGATAATAAAATCGTATATTTTTAGGGAAGTAAAAAAGGACTCTGGAATACTATAAGTCCAAATCCTGTAAATAATATCGCCAATTTCATTAGCGGTGTTTAAATTCTTCAGTAATGAAGGCGACACTTTATTACTGAAGGGCAATATTCTTTAGCGTGAGAAGTTATTAATGCGCATAATACCAAACAACAAACCACAGTCAATTCGGTTTTATAAGACCAAGACCTTAAATACATGGAATTTTTACGTCTATCCGACATGGGTGTATAAACAATTAATGTGGCTCTGGATATACAAGCTGTTTTTGATTCAAGATGAAATGTTCAAAGAAGCTTTGACCAGTATCATAGGCATGTCGTAGATACAATGAACGGCATAATATAAAAATACGTTTATTCAATATTTTATATATCCAAATCACTGAATTAATTTCAATAGGCGAATTTAGGAAAGCATAGCATAAGTATATAACCATTTAGTGGTCTAAATATTATACCGGATTAATTGCATTACTGTTTATGCTGCGATAACTGATTGAATATATATTTTACGATTATTTTTTTTTATTTCAAATGGGTCGTCGCCATTAATGCTAAATATGCGTAACATTGGGCCTTAAATACAGGATTCCTAATATAAAGATTTCCTTCAAATGCCAATTCTGACAATATGTTGTCGAACTTATGGGATTAAACCACAGATAAATGAAATATTCTTCTTTACCTTTTAGTACCAAGAACTCAAGTATAAATCAATGTAATAAAAAACACAAATTTACTTTTACTTCTATATAAAATCATGTGATTTACCACAGATGCAGTGCACTCAAATTAAGATCAGGGACATTTACATTTGAAGATTTATTTCAGCGTGAGTGCCAGAAATATCGTCTCTTTTCACATTTTGCGACAAGTCATAAAATTGCAAATGCATACAACAAACAACCCACCCACGCGCATTCAAACAAATTTATTTATGAGGAAGCATGTGAATATACTTACACTTCATTTTTGACTTTCTTTTCAAGTTCATCCATTTTATAGTTGATCTGTTTATCATCGGGTTGTGTGGAACTATAAAAAAATATGACACAAGGTTAAGTCCAAAATTCGAATCGACAATAATGACAAACAAAACTTACTTGGAATTTTCAAAGGTTTTATTACAATCGTTATTATCTAAACTCATATCCTTAATCACATCGACACTCATTGTGGCATTCTTCTGTGGAATATTAAAAAATAAAACAAAAAAAGAATGAATCATAGATAAAAAAATATAATTTTATTTACAATAAATGCACTTACCTTTGTTCCAGGTTGTGGTAATTGACGTTTATTTTGCTGCTGCTGCAATTGCTGTTTGACTTCTTGTGACCGTTCCTTTAGTAATTTGGCACTTGAGGGTAATGCAGATGGCCGGCCAAAACCACTACTAGCACCACCACTACCTAGCGATGTTCTGGCGTTATCTACAACAAATGAACGATTTGTACTTTCGTTAAGCTCGTCCTCTTCTATGGTTGGACTTAGACAAGGATTATTATTGAGATTAGTTGGTATTTGTAAGTGTAGTTGTTGCTGCTGTTGCGTTTGTTGTCCTTGATTGGCTGGCACTGGGCAACCGAGTAATGGATCAAATTTCAATAGCAACGAACTACGATCCACTGGTGTGTTGTTATTGCCCTTGGTTAGCAGATAATCGAAATCGGATGGATTCAAAATAACTGTGTTAGGTCACACAAACAAACACATAGATGAGAGATGGTGGTAGTACAGTAGTAGTAGTTGCAATCATACATATAAATATTAAATAGAAATAAAAATATTATTAAATTAATATTTAGTGAATTTTAGTAAATAAAAAAAGATATGTGTGTATATATTGATGTAATTCGTGTTTAGAAATTATTGCAGGATGTATCATCCATCATCTATTGTGGTATAATGATACCACAGGTAAATGGCTTTTAAAGTGAAATCACATTACTGACAATATAAATGTTCTCCTAACGTATTAAGAGAAGTAATCCACATACTTCAGTTTGGCAAACGATGCAGTAATCTTTTCATTATTTGGTTATTAATGCAGGTACGAGGGGGGTCTATGATATTCGAAAGGAAGAGGCAAAAAGTTAACACTCGAAAAAAAAATTATAAAGGACAGTAAAATATTTTGCATATGAAAATAAACCATAATTGTATATTATTTCAATTTTTAGTCTTTATAAAATATTTAAAAAAATAATGTCTTAATGATCGCAAAATAAATTGGAATATTTTAAATACTATTTAATATTGATATGTATTATTTGTATCGTACAGCTGTACAACTCGATTTAATTTTTAATTTGAAAATTAGCTTAAAGCGATAGAAAAGGAAGTTTGACAAATCGATTCCTCACCATTATATAACCCTTGCAATTTAGAAAAATCCATATGCTCAATGTAGGACCACTAATGAGATTATATACTTCGATTTAACGAGGCCATTTTATTAATGTTAAAGTTTTGGCATAGCTTTTAATATTTTCATGATTAGCAAACCTGAATATTATTATTTTTTTTAAATATATTGTCTTCATCAGTAGTGTTTGGCGGGTTATTTGGGATCCCATTTGTATTTTGTTTTTGCAAAATAGTCAGGCTTAATCCCAGTTTGTTGTTTTTATAAAAAAACAACTATTAGTGGGGAATGCCACTGATCCTCATCAGTTCCCTTAGTTTTTTGTTGGGATATTCTCCCCAGAAGCTATTAATAGCTTCTTTACAAAAAACCTTTCAAACCCAAATGTCTCTTGTGACAATTCGAAGTTCTTACGTTACCAGCGATACGACCCCAATGAGAAGTTCGTTTCGTTGCCGCCTGACTTCGTGGTCAACAAGACATTTACAGACAACTACAATACATTTCCCGCTGCTACAACTACAATACATTTCCCACTGCTAAGAACTTCGAATTGTCACAAGAGACATTTGGGTTTGAAAGGTTTTTTGTAAAGAAGCTATTAATAGCTTTTTTTATAAAAACAACAAACTGGGATTTTAGACTGACTATTTTGCAAAAACAAAATATATTGTTTCAGTTAGAAATTTGGCATATTATTCCCATCAAATGGGAAATTTTGATGGGAATAATAAATATTCGCAAGAATAAAGCTAATTTTTGATATGTGAATAAAAACTGATTTCATTTTCTCGTATTGGAGGTTTATATTTTCTGTATTTGGTTTGTCTTTCCAAATTACCAATACTGAGAGAACATTTCAAAAACAAACTAAAAATTTATAAAGGCGAAAACAATTTCAGCTTCTTTTGATCATTTTGAATAAACGTGTGTTATTATCCATCTTGGAATCAATTAGCAATCCAGTGTAAATATAAATTTCCATTGTGTTTAGAAGACCTTCTCCACTCTTGATATGAATATCATTACTCTGTGAATAATATCTCCTTAGAATGAAATGAATTTTAATAGGTGCCAACGGACGGACCTCTCGGCATTTTTGTAATAACCATTGTAAAAAAGAGAACATAGATAATGATGTGCGTACGAATGTTTGGCGCGGTTAGACAATACAGCTATTGACAAACAAAACGTAATATTCTCGCACATTGACAGTGAAAGAGAAAAATAAAATAAATAAAAAACAAGTTTTACTCTCTATTGTGTCTCTCGCATATTTCCGCATTAGTAATATAATCATCGATATCCAATTATTGTTATGGCGAATGCAGAACAAAAAAGAATTTGGAAAAAAATTAAACACTTCTTAACCGGAAGGAACAAAGAAATCTGTTAACACAGATATAACAAAAAAAAAAAAAATCAATTTGAACATAAATTAATGCGTAGGTTATGTAGTAGGTGTCAATATTTCTATATCGAACAAGATACGGTAGTGGTTTAGATTGACTTAACCGGGGTTGTTTATGTGTAAAGTGGAAAATGAAAAAAATATTGAATTTTTCCGAGTTAAATACTTGTCTTAATATTAGGTGTTTGTTCAAATTGTTTATTTTGCCAGAGGGCGGACAGAACGGCAATCGGCATGCCTGAGGTGATTGGTTGTTTAGTGGTTTATTTTTTTCTTTCGCCTGCCACCGACATTTCATTAACATTTCCGCATAATTATATGTGAGTCACATACACAATAATAAAATGACTCAAATACAATAACAGAGAACGAATAAAGAAGATATAAAACCCTTGATTTTGGTTTAACAACAGCTAGAACAAAAGGAAGGGAAGGTCGGTCTTTGGTGTGTTGAAGAGGCAGTAATAAGAAGTATGACATGGCAAACAGTGTAGTAATTGGAAAGTTACTCAAATAAGAAAGAAAATCGGAGTCAGCATTTTTGTTGTATTCTTGCAGCACTTCAGATATTTAGTAGTCTAAGAGAGAAGATAGTTGTTTGTTCATACAAAATGCCAGGAAATGTTTGACAAATATGGAATAATAAATAAGAAAAGGGCATTTAACGCAAGCGGATCGGTACCCAGCGAACGTGTTTGTACGACAATTGAAATGTAGGATTTGTTCTGTGGCCTCCGGTAAAACATGGTATCATATCCAGTCAAAATATCTTCAAATCTAGAAGCATTTGCATAGTCTAAAAGTGAAGAGTACACAATTCTTATCAATACAGCTGCAGATATTTAACGAAAAACAAGCCTTTATGATCAATATAAAAAATAGTGTTTCACTTCAGGGATATATAAATGTGGCGGGTCTCACATGTAGTGGTTACGGCAATTGCATTGAATAAATGCCTTCTTCAACGTTATTAGATCAATATAAACAGTCAGAGCCTTCTGTGAGATTTTTGATATTGACCCTGAATCGTTCTAAGTACTTATTGGATCATAAATATTTTAAGTACTCCCCTCAAAATCTTTCTTTCGGAACTATCTATGATGTTAGGTTATTTTTTATTATGCTTCCATAGTTATTAGTTTTTCTACGATATATATAAAAATCAATTAGAAATTATCTCAACAAAGTAATGACATAGAAAAATATTTATTATTTTCCAATAAATAAGAGCTAATAGTACTGAGTTTGTCATCCATTCGATTAGATTTATTATAATTGCTTTCAATAATTTACATATAATTAACGCGTATTACGACTTGTCTGTTAAGCCTTGTCATGAAGAAGATATTAAAATTTTTCATTTACTACAATACTAACAAAAAAAGCACCCGCATATGATGTCGAACAAACAAAAACTAATACTCTATTCAATCTGAGCTGTGGTGTTAGTTTGTTGGGGCCAAAAGAGATAGGGAGGAAAATATAGCAATCAGAAGACGCAACGGTATTGCGTTGCTTGATTTGTGTAAAGGGTAGAAATATGAAGGTTGGTTGGATAACTACGAATGAATACGAATACGAACATATGAACGGAATAAGTCTGTTATAAATCTGTGTTATTCCCTTATCTAACTGTTGAAATCACCACCCAGTTTACACATTTAAAGTACATGTAATTCCTAGCCACACATATTGTGCTAACAGTATAGGGCAAAAGTAAACAATCCAAAGGAACGGCATCTATATAGTTTTAAAAACTCAACCTTATTGCTAATGAGGATATATACACTTTAAGTTAAGAGATGGGAAATATCGGTTCACTCCTTCTCGTATCTCCCACACAAAATAGTGAAAATTGTACAAAAAATTAATTTTATGATAAAATGAAAACCGATTTTAACGAAACTTTGTACAACATATTATCTTTACCAAGTCCAGATCTGTAGAAAGATGGAATCCATTGGTCCACTCCTTCTGGTACCTTCCCCACAAATGGTCAACATTTTCAATATTTATAAATCCAATATCAGAAAGAATGATCAAGCTTTGCACAACCTGTTAAATGATCAATGATTATATATATTTGATCAGCAAAAATTCCGAAACACATTTAATTAAACATATACCTTAAATAACACGAATAATGAAACCTGTGTATAACTCCAAAGACCTTCTCCGCAAGCCATAGGGTGAGGTTATATATCTGTCGGCAACGCAGACTGACACTTTTTTATTTGTTTTATTTGTATTGAATCTTCAAAAGTCCCAAATCTTCAGTTTTTGGAGTAGGTCTGAGTAATTGAAGCCTTTGAGGATTATTTCGTAGTCCATATCCACCCTTTTTAAAACTTATCATTAGTCGTAATTACTGATTTTTGAATCAAAATACAGTCCAAATTGTTTATAACGACAGTCAAGGGACCGGTGGAATTAGTCGCAATAAGCGATAGTCATTATAAGTAATTTCATATAGAGTTATATTTTCGATAAAACCGATATACGATTTCGAGTATAAGGCTTTCTCCTCAAAAAGGAATTTTCAACTTCGGGAACAAGAGCTCAATATTGTTACATATTAATTTATGGCAATGAACTTTTAAATAAAATTTTTAAAAATTTGCAGAGTAAAAAGAAATCAACTTATGACCATCACTGTATGTGACCGTTTACATCGAAAATAATCTCAAGACTATTTTTTTTTTGGTCTGCTCTCACGACACTTAAACAGCAGTGGCTTAGTTCATATAACAGATACATTATTTTATAGCACAAACAAATCAAATGGAAATGTATGCAATTCCCAGAAAATGTTTCTTCTATTCAGAATATTCAAAATTGTCTTTTAAGGAAACTTAATTTTTTCATTATCAAATTTAGATACAATTTTATTCACAGTATGGAGAGAGTAA